ATTATTATTATTATTATTATTATTATTATTATTATTATTATTTTGTTTCAGATATCAATGACTGTTACAAATCCCTGAATGAAAACTATCCAGGCAACAACCAGGACTTCTGCATTCCAAAAACTGTAACCTTCCTGTCTTATGAGGGACCTTTGGGACTCTGTTTAGCGTTGTCTGCTGTTTCCTTTGCTCTGATTACAGACTCCATGCTTGGAATATTTGTGAGGCACCACAACACTCCCATTGTTATAGCCAACAACCAGGACCTCACCTACACTCTCCACATCTCCCACCTGCTATGCTTTCTATCCACTTTGCTTTTCACTGGTGGTCCTAAAAAGGTGTTGTGTCTCCTATGCCAAACCACTTTTAGCATAATCTTCTCAGTGGCTGTTTCTTGTGTACTGGCAAAAACCATCATCATTGTTCTGGCTTTCCTGGCCACCAAATCAGGATCTGTATTGCGAAAATGTGTGGGGGAAAAGACTGGCCAATTTCATTGTTCTTTCCTGCTCCCTTATTCAGATGGGCATTTGCACTGTGTGGCTGTCAACCTCTCCCCCCTTCCCAGATCTTGACATGCACTCAATGGAGGATCAAATGGTAATCAAGGTTCTGTGACTGTGTTTTATTGTGTGCTTAGATAAGTCCTTGAAGTTTTTTTGCCAAGATTTCAAAAGTGATTTGCTATTGCCTGTTTCCTAAGATGGAGAGAGAGTGACTGGGCCAAGGTCACCCAGTGGGCTTCATGCCAAAGGCAGAGCTAGAACTCTGTCTCCTGGTTTCTAGCTTGATGCCTTAACCACTACATCAAACAGACTTAAGGTCAATGTTTTTTCCTGGGGTTATGTAAAAGTTGTAGATTAATGTCAGAACATCAAAATGAGCAATTTATCATGGACCACCTCACTTGATAGTTGCAGCAGAGTGCTATATTCTTCTTTATAAGTTTGGACTTCTCAATGTGGTAATGTGCTAAGACACAGTTTATCTCACTGGTGGAACATAACAATATCTCAATGCACCCAAGGAGCAGCCTTGTACTACTTTTATTGTAAAGCTTTAATAAAAGAATCTTGCAAGTCTGAATGTTGTCCCCTCCCCTGCTTTAACTTCATATAAGTTAAATAAGGAGAGGCTTATCTGAGACATTTACTCATGTTATATCCTTCACTCAGGCTCAGGCCCCTTTTATTTGACCATTGCCTTAGTAGCAGCTTTTCCTCCTGTCCCTCAAGACCATTCCCTCTTCCCTCTAGATAATCATAACTATATGCTTGGTGCTAATGGGTAGGGCATGGCACTTTAGAATTTATTTCATTTTTCTCATTGGTTTCTTTTCCCCTTTTTAATTTGCCTGAAAGTCAATACAGGTTTCAGTGTTGGGTCTATCTTAAGTTAAGGCTATAACCTGTGCACTTTCATCCAACTTCACTCAAACTACTCCTAAGAGACTGAAAGTCTTCTGTCCTGCTAGGGAATATTGGACATGGGCCCTCTAGGAAAGCTCTAATTGCATATGGATGGAGGTTCCTCTGACTTCTGAATGATATCCTTCATTTTCATGTCTAGAGGCTCAGCTGTGTTGCTAAAATTATTAATACTTTTCATATAGGAAATGAATGATGTCCCAAATCAGACTGAATATTTTGAAGCCATTCTTTTTCCTTGTTGGGGAAGGACAGTAGTGTTCATTTCTTGGGTCAAAGCTGTTTTTCATCTTCTTATCCTTGAAACCTCCTGAAATTAAAAAAAAAAAAAGTGTTTGGGGTTTATGGGTTACAGGCTGCATATCTGAAAGAAGGAATCACAATGCTGTGTTCAAATAAATATAAGATAAAATACAGAAGTCTGGGTCAGGCCCTATATTTAGATGAGGTGTTTTAGACTTTCTAAGTGGAAGTTTCAAATTATGTTGCTACAAAAGGTTGCTCTATCTCCATAATGATCTTATTGTGATCCAGGGAGGTCCTTCTCTCAACGTCAGCCAATGGAGGTTTTGTACTCTACTGACTTTTAAGTAAGAATTTCCCCCCCTTTCTTAATTTATTCTCTGACTGACTGACTGACTGACTGACTGACTGACTGACTGACTGATAGAACTTGCTGTTCATGTATTTGTATTAGGAGGAATTTGAATTTTAGACAATTTGTATCTTTGACACATTTAGCTGTGTAATTCAGTCATCAGTGAAGGGAAACATACAGTTCTCACATACCACTGCATACTCATTGTGTATTTCAGCCTAGTGCTTCTCAGCAACCACATTTTAACTTCATTTATTTGGTATGCATCAGACAAATTGGTGCCCTCTCAACCTTCTATTAGCTTTCCCCACTAGCTGAGTTTCTACAATGTTGTTAATATGTTTGATGAACCTTTTTTTTTTTTTTTACTCTCTAAACATTCTGCTTTTCTCTCACTGAAGGAAAAATGCTACTGTCTAAACTTCTTGCCTTTCTCTCATTGAATTAACAATGTACTTAATTCTCGTAAAATATTATTGCTTCTTATTTGATTGATTGGTATGCTTAGCTTTAAGTATTATTTGTGCTCTATTCCCTCCCCCATTGTCAATCTGTTTATTATTTGATTGCCTTTATATCTCAAATACTAAATTGCTTCATTGGTTATTTATTATAGTTTCATTTTTGGACTTCCAGAATATTTAATCCTGTTCAATAACATATAGTGTAATGATTCCAGTAGAAATGTATTATGGTACTCTTCAGTCCAATATATAAAAGACTGTTAATACTATGGTTGGAATCCTCAGGGTTATTAATTAAAATGTAAATTGTAGTGTTATTAATTTAAATGTTTCACATTAATTTATTATTATAATAAAATAATGGGATAGGTGAGTTGTTTCAAAATGTACCAGTACATTCTAGTATTTCAGTAGCCTGCTGGAGGTTTGACAACCCTTGCTTTCAGGGATTAATGTTACCATGCATTTTCTAAAGCTGATTTGATCATTAGCAACTTCAGAAGGATAGCTAATCCCATTTTCCCCTTTTTAGCTTCCTGCTTCCTTGCTGGAGTTAGGAAAGAGGCTTTGTGATCCCCATATCCAGGAGAACACAACAATGAGGCAGAACTCATATTCAAGCTCCAGCATCACCACAGATTTTTCTCTGTTGCCAAGAAAAGTACTTCTGTATTACAGTACTGCAGGAGTTCAGATGTGAAGGCAAACAGGTGATTCAATGCACATATAGGTTCACGTGTAGCACTACTGTGCAACTCTTAAATGAAATATATATTTCTTATGGATTTGCATAGTGGCTGCAGAAGATGGCTGTACCATCCCAGGAAAAGACACAATGGTTTTAGAGAATTGAGATAGTTGCTGCATGAGTGTTCCTAAGCATAGAAGCATTATTTTGGCAAAACAAAAGAAAGAGTAAGAGTAAGAGTAAGAGTAAGAGTAAGAGTAAGAGTAAGAGTAAGAGTAAGGAAGAAGAAGAAGAAGAAGAAGAAGAAGAAGAAGAAGAAGAAGAAGAAGAAGAAGA